CGTAGCCGCCGCTCAGGCGTCGGGAGTTGTGGTACTCCGTGGCGATCGGCTCCATGATCGGCTCGTCCATCTTCTCCGGGCCCTCGTACGAGATCAGTCGGTTCTGCACGGAGGTCGAGTAGTTTATCGCGTTCCTAGAGGCGTTCGGAGCTAGTACCAGATCACCGGATCTATAATATTTCTCTAAAAGTATCAGGTGTCTGAGGAAAGAACTCTGGTTCCCGTACGGTCTTTGCAACTCTTGCCACAGGAGCTTCGTGTCCCTGTCGTACTGTATCATGGTGGCGCACTTCTCCCAGCCTTGAGGCGTGATCTCCCGAACATTCGTGAACTCGATGTTGGCGTGGAGATTCATCTCCTCCTCCCCGGGGAACAGGGTGCGCACACTTATGGAGGGATTAGCGCCCAGTCTCTGCACCACCGGACTAATGTCGTTGCTCGTTCTCTGTCTCTTTGGCAATCTCGTCAAAGTAACTTCCTTGTCCATCGCGAGGATCTCCACCACCTCGTTCGGGCTGTCGCAAGATATGTTGCAAGGCGCGTTGGAGGTGTACGAGTGCGTGTCCAGCAGCTTGCGCTTCTTCAGTTTCTCCACCGTACTCTCGATGCCGAGAAACTGGATGTCCGTGGTGGCGGTCTCGTCGTTCGAGCTCGCCGTCTTCGCCGTACGGTTTTCGTTGTCGGTCTCCGAATTGGTTCCTTCGTTCTTGTTCGTTGGTTCCGGAGTAGATTTCTCGGGGACCGAGTTGGACGTGCCATCGGGAGACTTGGAGATTCCGCTTTTTACCGGAGGTGGACACTTGGCCTTCTTCCGTTTGTCCTTGTCTTTCGACTGGTTTTGCGGACAGTCGTCGTCCTCGTTCTCCAGTACTTCGATGTCGTGGTAGTGCAAAATTCTAGACGCAGAAAATGAGGAGGAATATATCTGGATGTCTTTGAACGAAAGAGAAATGTATTGACTGTTAGAGATACGTGGGTAGAACATGTCGAGTTAGACTGGATGTTCAAATAGTCTCAAACACTTGGTTAGCTAGATCTTCATCAACATAGCTATCAAAATAGATCACCATTTTAATCGACCAGGTCCAAACACGAAATGTCTCTACCCACGTACCGTTTCGGTCCTACCTTTTACGATAGCTCTTGAAAAACGATCTATGATTCGTGTTCATATTCTCCACATCCTTGTACTTCAACTGCAACTGCGTGAAGTATCTGCACAGCTTGCAGACGAAGGTCCCAGCCGCCAGCAGCACCGGAATCCCCTGCTGGCCGAGCAGCTGATTCAACTCGTCGGTTTCCGCGTTCGCCAACTGATGAGTGTGATTTCTTGCTAGGCGACGTTTGCACAGCGCACAAGTCAGGAATCGTTCGATCTTCGAGTAATGGCCGACGCAGAACGACATGGACGTGTGCTGACTCGACTCCCAATCGATGTCCACCTGCAACGAACGTACTCGTTAGAACGCTATTGAACTTAACACGGTTCCGTGTCCGTCCAGACAATTCACCTGCTTTTGAAGACCGGCTTTTATCTTGAGCAACCATCGACGTTTCACGTGATGTCGTGCAGCGTCCCTGCATTCTCGGGCCGAACATTTGGACACCATCAGTTGACGGTGGTGTTTCTGCGATTTGGTCTGCATGTTCGTTGGACTCGTGTTTGCCTGGAAAGCATAAAGTAGAGAATCTTTGCGTTAGGTGAAGTAGAGAACACTGATGCATAAAGGGTCGTCCTTGAAACATAATGACCTTGAAGTATGAGAGTGACTTTGGAAAGCCATGAACCATGATCAGGATAGCATAAATGTGAAGTATGTACCTTTCTATCTACGTGACGGTAGCAGGCGTCGCACAAGCAAGAGTCCTTGGTGAGGTGTCGTTCGATGTTCAAGATCTTCTTGCGTCTCTCGTCCGATTTCATTTGCGCCAGATGCATCGGCGTGTCCAGGGACCCAAATTTTCCAAAGCAGTAGCAGCACACGTCCGCGCAAAGGCGTCCCGGATGGATAGAAAAGGACGAGGACTTTTCTGGAATAACAAGGGACTGACGATCCTTTGGCGCGGTGTCTTCATTGTCTTCGTCTATATCAAAGATTAAAATCGTTAAAATTCGCGGAAACACTTGGCTGTAACGTTCTAACTCGTTCTCTTTTTTTGACAAAAAGTAACTCGAATGTTAGGAAGTAATTGTACTTGGTACTCGAAGCAGTAGCGGTAGCATGCTTGTCACAAAAAGAAAAATAAAAAAGGGGAGAAACAGAGGGATTACAAGCACGACGTCGATGAATCAGAATCGCTTGAAATCACGAAAATATCTGTGACGCGATTAGTTTGTTAAATCGAAGTCAAGCGATCCTCGTTTACACCGGTATCTAATGATCGTACAGGACACTGGGACGGTTTTAATCAAGCAGGACGGGGAACGATTAAGAATGTAGTTATTCCCGCAACCAGGATTACCGCAAGAGTGTCTGTGGTTAGTAGAGAACTTTCGGTTCGCACCAGAGCTGCTATCTCCCCAACTGGGTCCAAACTGAAAAACAAAGACAAGTATAAGCAACTGATCTTGAACTCATACAACTAATACAACCAAAAATACCTCACCTTCTTCTGTATAGTGTAGAAGTTCTCAGGCGAGTCGCCCTCCCCGTCGCCGCGACCTTGTTTCAATACCATTTTCAACGGCGACCTTGATCGCCTCTTGTCCTTCTCCTTCTCCTTCTGCACTTGAATGACAGTCTTCAAGGTCCCAGTATACTGTTCCTTCTTCAGCTTCTGATGATTCAGTCTCTCGGCCGCCTTCTCCAAGGACTCCAAACCGAGCAGTCTTAAAATGGACTCCTTCTTCGCCTTGTCCTCCGGCGTCTCTAGTATCTTGGGCGTCAGATTGATGCTGCTGGAGGACTCTCCCGAAGTAGACGTCTCGTCGGAGTCCTTCTGCAAGATCTCCAGCGTCTTCGCCTTGCAGTCGTTCTCCAGCATGTTCTCCGGCTGCTTGATCATCCTGTTCTCCGACAAATTCCGGGAGAGCCTGTTCTCGCTGGCTTTGCTACCCTCCTTGCTGATGGTCAGATCGTTCTCCGACTTGCTCCTCACGCTGTCCTTGTCCTCCCGCTGCTCCAGGCTCGCTCCAACGCCCTCTGAGAACCCTCGGAACTTAGCGCAGTCGGTGCCGTTCTCGTACTTGCTCAGATTGTTCTCGTTGATCTTCGCCACCTCGTTGTCCAGCAGCGTCTCCTCTTTCTGCTGATCCGACTTGCGGATGTCCCGCTTCGGTCTCTTGTTCTTCGACGACACCAGCTGGTCCTCCCTGCGCTTCCTGAACTCCCGGCTGCGCCTGGTGCGTGCTTGACGCTCCAGCTCGTTCTCCTCGGTGTTCTCACTCGCTTCAGGCTCTGTCTTCACCTCCATCTCGCCCTCCTCAGGCTTCTCCTCCTCCTCTGGTGTTTTGTCGATGGCCTCTCTGCTGCACGAGAGTTGACCTTTCTCCAGCTTCTTACTCTTGTCACGGGCTCGTAGGACTCTCTTCTTGTCGTCCACCTTCTGCTCCTTCTCCTCCTCCTTGGGTACGGTCTCATCTTGCTCTGAGCTGTTGCTGGACCAAGTCTTAGTCTCTTCATCAGGAGTATCAGTGATCTTCTCTCTAGCTTCAGTGTCTGACACTCTGGTGTCCTCGAAGACGGGACTCTCCTTGGGAACCGTTTCAGGACTGGAATCCTTGACTGGAACGTCCTTGACAGGAACGTCCTTGACTGGAACATCCTGGACTGGAACCTCCTTGACTGGAACCTCCTTGACGGACTCCTTCTCTTCAGAAACATTCTCATCTGTAACACCCTCATCTTTCATATTAGTCTCATCAGTAACTTCCTGTTTATCCTCACACTCTGCACTTGGCTCCAAAATTTCAGCGCTACCTTGCTCCAGGGTATCCTCCTCCGGACTCTCAAACTGACCTTTCGTCACTAGCTTCTCCACCTCCTTAGCGATGCTCTCCAAGGTCTCCTCGTCCTCAGAAGCGTTCGTACAAATTTCACTGCTCTGCGGTTCCATCACATCAATGTCCACATCGTTCTCATCCTTCGGCTCCTCACTCGGAACTTCCTTGCACTTCTCTTCAGATTCGCAGTTCTCCGGCTTCTTCTTCTTGCAACATTCGTCCTTATCCGTTATCCTCGGCGATTTTCTGGTCACCGGTTTCTTGTCATCCTTCGCTTCCTCTTCTATGCACGACTCCTCTCCGTTCATTTTGCCTTCGTTCTCCGTCACCAGCTGACTCGCGTCGCCCTCCTCCTCCTGCACGTTCTGAGACTGTGTTTCCGCTGTTTTAATATCACCCATGACTAGTTTCTCGATTTCTTTGGCAGTATCGGCCACTTTCGGTACGGAATTCTCGGAGCTGTCCGACTTGATCTCGTTCTTGGAGACGGTGGACTTGTCCTCGTCCGTGTTCTCCTCTAAACCTAATTTTTGGGACTCCGCGCTTAGCGGGGCGATTATTTCCTCGATTTTTGGTACCTCGAAGTTTTTGTTCAATCTGTGACTTGTCTCTGGCCCGAAGATCTTCCTCTCGATCGACTTCGCGATCGTGAGCTTTATGTTCTCTATCATTTGGTCGATCTGGGATTTTGGGTTGCCGTCAGACTTCTCTGTACCGTAGAACGAGTTCACCGTCTTCTTCATGTCTATGTTTAAACTACTTCTTCTACTCTTGGATTTGTCGGAGAACTTGGCTAAGATGCTGTCCTTTCTGACTTGATCCGAATTACTGGCTTTCTTTAACTCTTCTTGGATGTCTGGAACTTTGGGTACTATTCTTGTGTACTCAACTTTTATATTGTCACTTTTTATATCAACCTCTGTTCTTTTGGCTTTTGTTTTGGAGCGCAGCATAGGTCCCACTTCGTTGGCTCTCTCCAGTCGATCACTGTTATTATTGTTCTCAGTTTCTGATCCGGTTTGCGAGTCTTCAAAATTCTTTTGCGTTTCTTGCTTCGAAGAGGGTTCATCTTTGGTTATCACAATAACCGAATCATTACCACCAGGCTCGGAGAAGCAAGATTCTGTGTCTGCATTGCCATTTGTAATACTGTCAGCCGATACTTCCAAACCAGCATGGTCATCAGAATTTAATCTCTTCCGCTTTTTAAGTTCCAAGTCAGTGGAAACACCGGAGTCTGACTGCCGTAACTTTCCATTTCTCAAACTTCTTTGACTAACTGAAGTGTTCAATCTTTTCCTTGATTGAATTGCACCTTGAAAGGATTCGGTTTCTATGTTCTCTCCATCGGATGTGGTTTTAGTGTCTTCGCTGTCTGGTTCCTTTTTAATTTCAATGTCTGTAATTATATTCTCTTCGACCAGCATTTTCTTGCTCCTTCGTTTGCTTTCAACTTTCTCCGTTATCCCCTGTTGAGTATCTATCTCTGAATCGCTCAGCATCGAAGCTATAACTTCTGCTATAGTAAGATCTATAGAACTTTTACTATCCAAAATTGATTTTGAAAATTTTGTGTCTAGTAAAGATGTCCTTGTGTTAGTGTAATCTATGTCTTTACCGTTACTTTTCCTACCCTTCGTATACTTGATATCTCCTTCTATAGTTTTTGTACAACTGCCTCTTTCTTTAATATTGTTTTTTTTTAATCCAGATACCTTTGTTGCTTTAACGCTCTTGGATAAGGAATCTGGACTCTCTGAGCTTTTTCCTTTTCTATTAAGTTTTGGACTGCTTTTAGTACTGGATCCGGCAACTGAATCTGTATCCTGAATATCCTCGTTTTCCACCTCACTGCTAGTTTTTGGTACAAACTTGGTCTTTTTGGTCCTGAGATTGTTCTTGGCACTTCTATTAGTGGCTTCTGTTCCTATGTGTTCGCTTTCCGTATCCAAATGATTTTCCAAGCCTTTTGAATTAATATCCAATGCCTTAACGCTGCTTATGTCTGACAGTTTAACCCTTTTTGTCTTCACGCCCTTCTTGATGTCAGAAGTTATTCTACACAAATTTCTATTCGTTACTTTCCTCGCAGCTTTAGATTTAATAAGATTTGCTTTTGCCACTCTTAATTTTTGTTTACGCTTAAGATTCCTAAGAACCTTTTTATGCGGTAAACTCCCTTCCAATTTTGAAGGAAGTTGACTTCCAGTTGCCACAGCTTCCAAAATATTTCTTGCAATTTGTTGTTGTTTCAGATTAGACAAAGACTTGCCTTTTTTATTCTTAATTTCAGTCGGCGACAAGCCACAATCATTATTTACCTTCTGTTTTGCTTTGTAAGGCGCTAAGGGTTTCTTTTCCCTGGATGCCATCTCACTTCCACCCACATTGGGCTCCTGCAATTTCATTCGTGGTATGAAATTGCAAGTTGATTATTGACTGAACAGTAATTAGAATCATCTTAGTATTCAAAACATATTTTCTCTATTAGATGTCTTCAATAATTAAATACAGATTTTAAATATAATTCCAAGAAGATCCACCCTCCAATTTTCATGAAATTCAGTAAAATCATACAAAACACATTTAAATGAACACATCTAAAATGCCTTTTGATGCATTTTAAGTCTTGCGAGTTATCTTGTGTCCAACAGAAATTTTACTCTTCGCACACTGTCAAAAAATGATCCTGTTGCATCGAGAAGGCTAGCTTCGCTCATCCAATAAATCCAGTATTTTTGTGAATAATTTTCAGTCGTGTCAGAAAACCCTTTGCATATGTTCATTTAAGGGCATTTAGATTGACTTCACTAAGTTTCATAATAATTGAAGGGTGGATGATTATACCCTCAATGCAGGTATTTTCCGAAAAACGGTAATATCCGTACTATCACGAAAATCATGAAAAAAAGCAAAAGGCAAAAATGTAAAAAGTATGTAATAGAACGACGATAATTTTTGAATAGAACGATAAAACATTACGTTGAAACTGTAATTTAAGAGCAAGTACCTTTCCTCTATCAAGCAAGACAGGAACAAACTGACTGTACACCAAGTGGAAAAACTACATAATTCGTCTTTAGGTGTGAGTAGATGAGTGGCCAGCCAGAGAGTGGGGTTGATAGATGCGGCCCTGGCGGTCAGAAAAATTACGTGACAAACTTTGCATTTACACGGATACACGGAGCGCCTCTTCTCTGTCGGACAGGAATCGCTTCGAAATATTTACAGCGATATCTCGACAATCGTTTCCTCGATCGCGATGAATTTAATCCGAAAAGAAAGACCGTGTCACGCGTTAACTTCCAAGAAGGAAAGCAAGGGGTTGAGCTAGCGAGAACTATCAAAAATCACGCAACAAATTATCGCGAAAAAATCGCCACGAATAAACAAAAGGTCGGACTCAATTCGAGATTTCCAAGGCTTAATACGTGGTTGGTAGAATTTCATCGTTACTATTTCTTTATCGAATATTCGATTCATCGATTGTACTCACCTCTGAGGCGAAAAATCACCGTCAAAGAGCGTAGTTTTTGCGGGAAAACGCGGAAAACAATTCTGTGAAAAACACAGTCCCGTTGCAGGGTGCCTGTACGATGTCCCACTGTTTTTGAGACTACCGCCACCTGACGGTAGAACACGCGACCTCTCCCAGGTCCATAGTCCGTTTGCGCTAATTCATCGCGCTATTTCGACGAATTCAACCCTTAACCGCTTTATCCTAGCTGGTATTTGCGGTCCACTCACTTTCACAGAAACTCGTATTTACTCACAAAACAAAAATCCGTGATCAAAGCCCAGCCGAAACGCGATTATTATCCAGCGAAAATCGGAGCAACGCGGCACTTCGAAATCTATGCACTATTTATGATAACTAACCCCGCGTTATTTCTTGAATTTTACGATATTACGATTACTTGCTGACACGTTTGTCTATTAGGATCATAAGCAATCGTGACGAAGTTTCTTGCAAAAACAAAAAATGCTAGAAATACAAGCTCGCCGCGAGGAAAAACTCGATCTGGCACGAGAACGAAAAGGAAGACGCACCCGTGCGCACCAATGGCGGCCACCGACCCTTATTTACTGAAGTCAAAATGGCTGCCCTTCGGCTTTTCGCACGCTCGAAACCTTTCACGATTATTCTTCGAGATTCTGCTCAATTTAAATTGCTAAATAATAATTTACCGAATATAGATCAGGTATTATGTCTTAATACGCTGTATTTCTTTCTTTTCTTTGCGATATATCGATAAATCGTACGTTTTCTTTCATGTCGCGATTATTCGAAGATGAAGTAACGAAGGGCCATGTTAACATGCGTATATAATTGTGTCAGATGTTTGTGTCATTGGTTCTTCATTTTTATTTCATTATAATTTCGACAAATCTGTTTGTCTTTGCAACAGGAATTTACGTGTCAATTAAAATGTAACCTTAAAACGAATATTTAAATGATCGAACGTAGAGAAACGATGAAGTGAATTAAAATTTTACAACTTCGATACTTGATATAATAATTTAAAGTACAGTGCTATACGAAGTGTGCGCCATATTATTCTAATGATAAATAACTAAAATTTATTTTACTTTCATTGTAATTTCGTACGAAGGTTATTTTCTGAGAATTAAATAAACAGTGTATATTAAAATTGATAGTTATTCAATTTTACTGTTGTAACCTAGAAATATGTATTTAATAAAATTATAATTCATGATGAAGTTCATTGAAACTCATCCAGATAAGTATCGAACAATAACATCATGTAAAAGTTATTTTAAAAATGTATGTTTCTTATTTATACTAGGTGACTAAGAGATGGGGAAGCTACAGAACATCTCCTGTGTACGAAGACCCTTCCAAATACACAGATTTTGAAGTATCAAGGGATCCAGAAGAATGGAAATACGTAGAAGCTCTGCTTAAACCTAAATCCATACCTATGCCCCCTTTAGAAAATAAGGAATATCCGTCTGGATGGAAACCACCTGTTTGTGAGTTACATTAGACATCTTATGATTTGTATTCCTTAATGATTATAAATTGTATTTAAATTCATGATTAATTTTAACCCTTTGCACTCAAAGATCTTGTCTTAGCATTCAATTGAGTGCAAAAGGTTAAAAGATATACGTATATATTTAGAATGTAACTGTAATTATTTAACAGCAAAACCAGGAGATCATCCCTACTTTGTGAGCAGAACAAAAAATTTTATGCATCCTGTGTATCTCGATATTACATATAGAGGAACACGAAGGCTAACTTTCATTCGTAGAATTCATGGAGATATTTGGCAATTAAAATCTGAATTGGTAAAACACGTATCAGAAACCGTGAAGAAACCGATTGGTGTACGCGTGAACGAACTTACGGGTGAAATTCGACTTAGGGGCGATTATGTGACAATTGTTAAAAAGTGGTTAGATGAAAAAGGATTTTAAGTATCTTTGCATTTATCATTATAAACACTTGTTGTAAATATGTGACATAAATTTTGTTATTGTGATTATTTGTTAAAAGGTAAAAATAAATAATACAAACAATAATTTATATTTTCAAATATTCAATATTTAATATTTATTTTTTAAGTATTGTGTAAATAGTAATATGGAACTTTCAAAATATTACTTTAACAGTAAAAGGATCAACAACTTGATTTTTGTAAAAATATGCATTATATTTAAAATTAAATTTCACACAAACTAACATAGCAAACAAACCATAGCAACTGATTTAAATGAAGATGTTACAATGCGTTCATACTCCTATATTTCTCTCTTGATGATTAATAAATTATTAACTGTAATATATGGTTTCCCGTTAAACGATAATTTCTTAATACTATTTTAAATTATCTGAATTTATATATATTTGACATATATTAAAACAATTTATAAGTTAAATAATTTAATGCAATTATGTAGAATAGAAATTTCTAAAGAATCCACTGATCAATGAAAATATGTCGTTTATATTGCTAAAAATTAAAATCTTACTTCAGACTATAGTATTTATTCGATGTTACACGAAATCCAAATATCACATTTGACTCGTATCATCGTACAAAAAATGTATTAAAAGTTGTTTCAATAAGGTATTTCAAATGTGATATAGCAAACTTAAAGATATTAAGTTACACAATAGAGATCTACAGAAAGGAACATGTTTTTGAAAATCATCCTATTTAATACAGGATTCTAAAGGTTTGCATGTAAAGTTCGATGATGTTTTATCAGTTTTTTTCACGTTTATTTCATGCGAACAAAGTGTTCTGTTTAATAATAAGCATATGGCAAAGTTTTACTTGAAAATTTTTCCTTGATTAAATTTACGTCCCTCTTTATCGGTGCCAGTCCAGCTGAAATATTGTTGAACCAGTTGTTTTGTTTCTTCATTAGCGGGATCTAATTTGGTCCAACTATACGATTCATAATCTACTTGCCAGTCCGGACATAACTTAAAAAGAAAAAGTAACGATTAATATATCTTTAGATGCATATTATAAAATTAAAGAAACAAATATTCATAATAAATGACTAACTGTGAAAGCAAGTTCTTGTCCGCGCCAAACCCAAATACCACTGATGCTGCTGTCGTTATCTGTACCGAACAGACAAGCGCTAGCAAATGCACCCTTTCGCATCTTATCTAATCGTTGATACATTCCACTTATTAAATTGCAAGACATGAAAACCTGAAATAAAAGTATGATATACTAACGTGTACATATATTTATTGCATCTTCAATCGATTATTTCTATTTTACCTTAGTTAATTCATTGTTATACTTGTATTCACCGAGCCAAATACTATAATGCTCTGGATCAAACTTTTGCCAAAAGTAAGGTATCGACTTCGCTTCATCTTCGTTCGAATAAAATCTCTTAAAATCATCAAGATCAAAACTACCCTTGGGTAATGTATCAAAAGGATTTGTAGTTTTAGGTTCAGCAGCTAAAGCAGCATCTGCTGGGTCTAACTCTTCAGCAGCTTCCTTCTTGGATTCTTTTGGTTCTTTTGGTTCCTTCTTGGACTCTTTTTCTTTCTTCTCTTTCTTCGAAGACTGCAAAACATTGCAATTATTGCTGTGATGTAAAACTTAAATATTCTATTAAAAATTGAGAGTAATACTAACTTTTCCCTGAGTTTCTGCAAATTTCTTTGGGTCATATTCAAGAGTTTTTTCAGCCAATTTAAAGGCTCCAATTACAGCCATTGACTCAGGCTGATAAATAACAGTTTGAAACCATCGATTTACGTTCTGATATGGTTTACGTAAATTTGGTTCAAGGATATATTGATACAAATGGAGTAATGTCATGGCTACACTAATGTCTGCTAATGTCAGTCGTTCTCCAACCAGGTAAGTACGTGTAAGTAAATGAGAATTTAGGGCAGTCAGGGCCTTTTTCACATCATCCTTAGCATGTTCTACATTCTGAAATGTTCATTTATAAAATTAAATTTTGATTAAAAGAAAGTATATTGAATAATTTAAATGTTATACATTCAAGAACTATGTTATAAAATATATAATTGTATGCATCTTATTTGAATGTATGAAAATTCATACATCATACTAATAAAATGCCAACATTCATTTACCTCCTAGAGTTACAAAAATAGCTACAATATTTGCTACTTTTGCCTTTGAAGGAGGAGTAACAATAATAACTGACATACGATACACTTGAACTATACCTGTTTATTATATGGCATAATTCCAAGCAATGGAAATACCCATGCACAACTAGCTGGAAGAATTTCTGAATCTGCAAATCCAAACCATTGTATAATTTCTGCACGTTCTAAATCAGTTTTACCTCTCAGCTGATCATTTGCCACTAAAAAATAAATATACATTAAAATCCAATCAACTTAATGATACAAATGCACCACAAAAATATATTTTACCATAATAAGCAATTGCATTGCTTTCCGTAATACATTTTCCATCGCCAGTTTCAAATGCTGGAACCTATTATAAAAAATGACACGTCTGTTATTAGATGGATAACAAGCAAATAAAATTACATAAATATTCAACAACTTATGGAAGACACTATAATAATTTCTTTCGTGATCTTACACTGAACATTTATTTGTTAATACTCTTGTAAAAATCATAACAGCTGGTTTGTCATTAAATAAGTAAGGTATTAAAAAAAAAGAACAATTAAAACGTCTCGCTTACCTTGCCTAGTGGAAACTTCTTTAAGAAAGCTTCACTTTTATTTGTCTCGCCAAAAATAAAATCATCGGCAATCTTGATTTGAGCACCGGAATATTGAGCTGCAATCAGCACCTTGTAGGCTCTGAAATTTTCCGGGTACGTGTAGAGAGTCTGAAATAAATTGGGGCTCCATTAGTTGATTTCCATATTCAATTACATTTTTGACGAACTTCGTATTTTTGTCAGTATATCATACTGTCGATGTTTAAAGGTTTGAATTGTACAACAGAGACTTACTCCGGACGCCATTATATCCAGTTACGGGAAGAGGAAGTTGAAGGCCGGTAAAGATCGTTTCTCTCGAATGCATAAAGTCTTTGTATCGCAATAGATACGTCCTTACGAAGTATTTGTTTATCCTTATGATTTATATTTGCATAATATAGTTCTGAAACTAAAACGATATCGAATTTTACGATCGCGTTCGATATAGCAGATCAATTTCTATAATTAAACTTAATTTTACAACTAAAAAGTTTGCGAAATAACTAACTATCAGTAAAATACGATTATCTGATTGGTCGACTAATATAACTGTGTATGTACATATATCTTATATTTATATTTAAAAAATTTAACACAAAGCAATAGTTATGTTCTTACAAAATGAAATATATTAAAAATTAATGAATGCCCTGAATTTTTATTTATTATCTCTATATGGCACGAATTTCAATGTTGTCCATCTATATAATACATGTTATATGACTGTAACTTAAATTCGAAAATGGCAGCATTGAAGGATGTTGTTTCTTTATACAAAAATTTAAAACAAGAGTGGACAGCAACTCCCTGTAATTTAAAAAAATGCGGTGAACTACTGAATCAACTAAAGGTAATATAAAATAAAAATATTGTTTGTTCTTCGGTTAAAGATTTATCCGATACCAGAAACATAGCAGTATAACCCTGTTTATTTTTGTGGCTTGTGGAAATGACTTGTCATCATGAAATAATTTTTATAGATTGGCCTTACGCATTTAATGTTTCTTCCAACATCTAACAGTACAGCAAGTCAAAATGAATTGCTTATTGCTCGTAAGTATTAATATTCATAAAATGAATTTATTAGAGTCTAACTGTGGTGTATAAAATTTTGCATTATTGCAGGTGACATTTTAGAAATTGGTGCACAATGGAGTATAGTAACAGAAGATATACCTTCTTTTGAACGTTACATGGCACAATTAAAGTGTTACTATTTTGATTACAAGTCAGGATTAATGGAATCTGTATACAAATATCATCTTCTCGGTTTAAATCTCCTATTTTTATTGTCTCAGAATCGGGTTGCCGAATTTCATACAGAATTGGAATTATTGCCTTCGGATCAAATACAGTCTAATGTTTACATTAGACATCCTTTAAGTTTAGAACAATATTTAATGGAAGGTTCATATAACAAAATATTTCTAGCAAAAGGCAATGTGCCAGCAGCATCGTATAATTTCTTTATAGATATCTTATTAAATACCGTACGTGATGAAATTGGAGCCTGTATGGAAAGTGCATACGACAAAATTTCTATTCAGGATGCTTCAAGAATGTTAAATCTGAATTCGGAAAAAGATATGAAAGCGTTTGCGACAAAGAAAAATTGGACCTTAGCAAAAGATGGCTATTTTTACTTCAACACAACTAGTGAAAAGAAAACCGAAGAACCAATTCCCAGTTCAGATTTGGCTACATTGGCAATTGATTATGCGAGAGAACTTGAAATGATTGTTTAAAAAGATATGTACATTTTTCTGTATTTTATAGACAAATAAAGTTTGTCATAATTAATAAGTATTAAATTGATCCTTCATACTTTATTACTTTTTCTGCACTGCGGATACGTCACTGCAATCGTTCTTACTTTCGCGCATGCGTGGTAAAACTGAACCTGCCTCACACATTGCTTCATACTTGCTTCCAAGGTTTAAGGGTAGTTCACAACTAGGTCTGTTTGATTGAGGGGCTCCGTGCCTAACCTAACAATGTTGAGCGAGCTAAAGCAAAAATAATCAACCGTATCATCCGGTTGAATTGGTTGAGTGGTGCAAAAGAAAAACGTGGACAAAAAAGTTGAAAAGTTAAGTACATAAGCGCGAGCATATTCAATTTTGCATTAAAGTCTACGGAGGTATGGTTTTTTGGTAATTATTCCTCCGTGGCATGCGCGGGCGGCGCGCAGGAGTAATATACACGATAACGCGTGTGCGAAATCGTTAATTACTCACTTTCTGAACACAGTCTATGAACTTTTATGATTAAAGAATGGTCAGTAATGCATTATTTACATGTTTCGATCATAAAAGTTCATAAATAATGTTTGGGTGATGAGTAATTAATTATTTTGTGTCAACATTGCGATACGTATATGAGCCGCCTATGTCAATTGTACTGCGCATGCAAAATGAATATTTCGGGACTTTGACGTCGTAGTATGGTTCCTGAGGCATTTAGAAACAAATTTCTATTAGGGTTT